GATTTTCTAAAAGTGAAATTCAATCTAAATGAGTCTAGATTTTTTTATTGCATAGCTAACTTATCAAGAAAAAAAATTAGCTATAACTTGGGTCAGTTTCATTCATAGTTTTCCAAGTGCAAGCATGAGCGAGGCCTTCTACTTTATAAGTAATGGGTTGTTTCTAGGCACTGAGGTGTAAACTTTGTGAAACTTGAATTTGTAAATGTGAGAAATATAAATAATTATAACACAGAGTCAGAGACCAAGTAATATCTTTTGTTCTTTTCTTTTTGGTGATAAAAAGCAGAGTCTCTTTCCTACTGAGACATGATTGCTATGACTTCCCTTTTGGGTGTGGTAGGAGATACTACTTAAGCAAACAACTGGTGGTTAGAGCCAAGGTCAAAGGTGATAGCATAAAAGACCAACTCATTTAAGCATTTTGTTTTTTGGGATAAAATTAAAACCTTGGTTTTCCAATCCAAAATATGTATACAGGTTTTTTTTTCCCTTGTTTCCATAGTGCAAAGGTGGGGTTTCTAGCAAGAAGAGCTTAACACTTTTCATTCTTCCAGATTGGTAAGCCTCCCTATTTTTTTTTTTTTTTTTCTCTTATTACTTGTCCTTATGCCAGTAATATCTATTCTGATCATTTCAATATGTGCAGGAGTTCAGCAGTTTGTAATTGTTTTCGCGCAAATTGTGGATGGAATGGCAGTACACAGGTAAATTTTTGTTTTCTTTCTAGTTTTCATTAAGACTCTATTTTATTTGAGATTCCCCTTTTGAAGCGTGGCTCTTTGGTTTCAGGCCTATGCAGATGCTAAGTCAGGAAGCATGATTCGGAGCCCAAAAGTTAAGCACGAGAGAGAAATTACAGAAGAGAGTTTGGAGTTGGAACCGCTCTGTGATTCGGTAGTTAATTTTTATTTTTTGTATACCCTTTTCCTTCTTGTTAAATTTGCTTTCTTAAATGCTCTTAAGCACTTTGCCCTCTTAACTCTTATTTATCATACATAAGATTTTTTCCAAGAGTATATTACTTCGATGGTGTGTTGTGTATGATACATCAATTCAATGTTTAACAAGATTTGGATCTCCATATTATAGTCTTTGTAGATTAGTTGAAAAAAGTGTTGTTGATATATTGAAACTCGAAACTTCAAACCAAATTGTGAATCTTGCTCACTTTGATTCCTTTAATTCAAATCTAAAAATCTATTTAAGAAGGATACAATTGCTGAGTTGTTTCTAATATACTCATCGCAATAGGCATAAAACAGTAAAATCTCATGCACCAAAAATTTCAGTTTGCAACAAGACATTCACATAACTAAATGAAAGCATACATTTTTTTTTTTTTTTGGTCACAGAAACCAACAATTTATCTTTTGTCGCAGAAACCAACAAATTAATAAGTCTCATCAGTCCATATCAAGCTGTCATATGTGTGTCAAGTACAAAAAAAATTTGAGATCGTGCATCGTAATACCTCACACTGTATAATTTGAGATCATGCATCTATAATTCTCTATTCAGGTTTGTACGTTGCTGTTGTCATCAAAGTTTATTTCTCTCTTCTTACTGGACATGAAAAAATTGTGATTGTTGAAAGCTCAGCATGTTCAGTTTTACATTGTGATATCTGACCAATTTATACAATGAATTTTATAATGCGCCAGGTCCATATTATTGTACCACCTGCAGTTTGACCCCAAATCCTCCCGTCTATAATACATTGTGGGGTCCCTTAGAGCACATTAACATGTACCTTCTTGAGATTGAAGCTTACTTATAACAATGAATTTGTCTGATTCTCAAAGTCGCATGTTCGTTTGTTTAAGTATCAGATCCAAAATCTGCCTACCTCCAAAGGAATCATTTAAGGAATCTGATACCACTCTATCTACCACCTTCAAAATGATATGACAAATTATTTCAACTGGTGCAGAGGCTCATTACCCAGTTGATACAGTTACAAAGATTGTGTTAAGGTGTTGTATATATCTTGCATAATTATCTAATGGGTGTAGAACCTAATGAAAGATTGATTGAAGAAGTTGATCCAGACCTCCTGGACATTGATATACATATTGACGAGGAGAGAGAGACAATTACTAACGATGATAGGCTAAGTGTGGATCAATTGTAAGGAATACCATCGCAGCTAACATGTGGGAGGGCTACGAACCATATTGTTTCTTTTTCCTTTTTCTATTTGCATCAGTATTCTCATGTCTTTTTACCGAATAATTATGACATTCTATTTGTTATTACTATGTTTTATTATGTTAGATGCATATTTCACATTAAAATTTTTGCCTTCATATTTCTACTTTTTTTTTTATTGAAATGTGTGTGACGATATTAAAAATATATTGTTATATGATATTAAAAAATTACAGGTTGTGGAATGAAGAAATCAAATAAGGATGTGAATGTGAATGAAATTAAGCGAATAGAATGGTTTGAAGAAATGGATGACATATTACTTGATGCAACTACTCGAGCAACAAGAAAATGGGAGTAGAGTTGATGGAACTTTAACATCTCCTGTTGCATGTTCAAATGTTGTGAAGATATGCTCTCAAAAACTCGGCTATCCGGTCGATAAACATGATGTGAAAAATCGTATGATAACATTGAAAATGAATTTTAACACGTGTTTCGAATTATTCAAAAATTTAAGGGGGATATCATGGAGTTCAGAAACAAAATTGTTTAAGTATGGAAGGCCCTCGTAGAGGTATGCATTTTATTAGACTTTTATTTTAATTATTTTATTTTTAGTTCATTTAATCCTTGTATATATACGTGTGTGGGTGTGTGTGTGTATATATATATATATATATTTGAATGATGCATAATATATGTTTCTTGCTTTTCTAGGCCAAACCATCAGCTTCAAAATGGAGGCACACCAAAATAAACAATTATGGTAAGTTGTATGAACTTTTTGCAAAAGATAGAGTTAATGGTCAAGGGTTTGTATGTGCAAACGAAAAAGTTTGCACATGGGCAACGGATAATGGTACCTCAACTGGTAGTAATTTGGACAACTATGGGTCAAATTCAGATTGCGGGGAGTCTTCAAATGGTACAAAAAGAAAGGGTCTAATGGTTGGTTTATTTGGGAAAGAAATTGAAGTAATTGGATCTGGAATTAACAAAGTAGCCGGGACAATTGAAAAAAGAAATCTTGTCGCTGAGAGGCAAGGACGGACCCAGCAGGGGACTGGGGGGCGCGGGGGGGGGGGGGGGGGGGGGGGGGCATCTCCCCCCCTGAATTTTTAATATTTTTATTTTATACCTTAATGTTTTTAAAATTTATGAAAATGCCCCCCTAAAATTACAATTCGCCCCCATTGGATTATTTTTTTTTAGTATTTTATGCTTCAAATTTTGATAATTTATGAAGATGCCCCCACTATAATTATAATTTGCCCCACTAATTTTTTTTTTTTCATTTTATACTTAATTTTTTTTTAAATTTATGAAAGAAATCCTATTAAAATTACAAAAATGAACCCATCATATAATTTTGTACCCACAAATTAAAAATTCGCCCCCCTTCACCAAATTTTCTGGGTCCGTCGCTGCTGAGAGGGGACTCGAAATTGCAGCAAAGATAGTTGCAATAGCTGAGAAAGCACGAGCTGATTATCATTCAGACGAAGAAGTATTTGTGGAACTGGTAAACATTGGAGTTCCTGATTGTATTCAGTTGGATGCATTTTTGTTCCTTCTCAAATGTTCCTAGCACAAAAGCGCATTTTTTGGTGTTCAATCTGAGTGGCGTTTGGAATTGTTATATAAGATGATGATGTATGGAGAAAATGACTCTTGAAGAGTCACTATTTATTTGTTTTCCTAGTCATTATTCTCATGAAGTCTTTTCTATTTTTCTGTTGCGCTATATTTTTATTATTCTCATATATTTTATATTTTTTGCTCCAGGAACACCTCTAACTGATCAATCTCTCATCCCAATCCCATTCACAGTGGCAGAGCAAAACAAAATGTGTTATCTTGGCGCCATTATTCTTCAAAATAAAGATTGATTCCACACCCGAATATCCAATGTCCTCCTCCATTTTGTGGTTCTTAAGGAGACAAATCATAAAAAAAAAAAATCTATAATTTTCCTAATTTTTTATACGGCAACTGGCATGACCCCACCTCACCCCTCCATGGAGCTTATAAAGAGCAACCATTGCCACCTCTTTACACATATCAGCCCTTGACTAGAGTTCATCTGTTGACTCTCTCTCCCTCATCCTCCTCACTGTTCCTTTGCCTTTTAGCTATTCCTTTCCATTTCCTTCTCTTTTCACCTTGAATTCATCGATTCTCCTAGCTAGACCATCCCAAACAGCTGATTCTTATAATCACCCTAAATTGTTCCATTTCTTCCTTGTTTTCCTTTCCTTCCTTGCATTACAAACTCCAGAAAAGAAATGGCATCCAGCTCAATGTCCTCCCGCAGCTGGACTGCTGAGCAGAACAAAGCCTTCGAGAAGGCTCTGGCTGTGTATGACAAGGACACCCTTGACCGTTGGCACAATGTCGCCAGGGCCGTTGGAGGGAAAACCGCGGAGGAAGTGAGGAAGCATTATGAAGTCCTTGTGGAGTAACTAAGGTGAGGTACGTTGTTTGGTGCGAAATGCAAATATCGATATAGACAAAATATGCATAAGAAGACTACCCGTGTTTTGAGGCTTTTATGACGGAAAATAACCCAATCATGTTCGCTTTATATCAATTTTCATTATATATATATATATATATATATGTGTGTGGTTACTCTGTATCGCAACTGATATACTTATGGGGTTTATGTCATGTTGCAAGGGTAGTGCTACTAACAAGTGGAAGTCAGTTAGATGGCCAGAGAGACCAGCCCACGTGGTAGTGGGCCGTGAAATCCCAATGTACCTTTTCAGGGCCCATCTCACGAGTAATGTTGCTCCTTTCATTTTTGTCTGCAAATTCATGAATACCAACTTTGAATTTTCATGTCATTCCAATGTGTGAGTGTGAGAGAGAGAAAAAAATAGAGAGAGATGGGGGACAATCAAGTCCGTGTGCTTGACGTCCTCCACAAGGACTTCATAATGCTTCTTCACTTCCTCCGCGGTTTTCCCTCCAACGGCCCTGGCGACATTGTGCCAACGGTCAGGGGTGTCCTTGTCATACACAGCCAGAGCCTTCTCGAAGGCTTTGTTCTGCTCAGCAGTCCAGCTGCGGGAGGACATTGAGCTGGATGCCATTTCTTTTCTAGAGTTTTTAATGCAAGGAAGGAAAGGAAAACAAGGAAGAAATGGAACAATTTAGGGTGATTATAAGAATCAGCTGTTTGGGATGGTCTAGCTAGGAGAATCGATGAATTCAAGGTGAAAAGAGAAGGAAATGGAAAGGAATAGCTAAAAGGCAAAGGAACAGTGAGGAGGATGAGGGAGAGAGAGTCAACAGATGAACTCTAGTCAAGGGCTGATATGTGTAAAGAAATTTGCTTGCTGGTTTGGAGATCTCAATGAAGTTGGATTCTGCCATGGCTTGTCAAATTGCAGCTGGATGGTTGCAGAGATCAGTTGTTAGGCAAAGATATAGTAGCATGCTATCGGTGTTTGTAATATATGCTCTAAGTTGGCGTGTTTCTGTTATTACCAGTTGTCGTGCATATCTTGTTTGGGTCCTTGGGGGTTATTTTTGGAGCTTCATCATCACTCCTTTTGTGAACTATAATAATTAAAGAAGCTAGGGAAAAAATTGTGAATGATAATGGTATTAAAGAAAGTAAGTTTTACGTATATTTCCTATTTGAGTTCAAGGATTAGAATGAAAAAAGACCAATTTTATTTTTATTTTTTTTTTTTTTCTTAGTTGGTATTTATACATTCCTTTAAAAAAAACTGTTTGTACCAAGAGGAGTCCAAATTTAGACTTATTCTACCTTAGTTGCCCACCGGAGAAAAACCAGACCAGTCTAATAAATATAAAGTAGTTTTTAGAGAGATAAGAAAACAAGAGAGAGATAAGAAAGCAAGATAAATTTCGTTTACATGCTTCTTATCATTGTACACATATTAGTACATACATGGCCTTTTTATAGGCTCAGAATATAGCTTCTCATATAAGCCATAACTGTAGTCTTGTTCCCACGCAAAAAGTGTCCTCGTGGATGACTTAATCCATTGGGGGACCCCACACAATCATATATATAACACTTTTTTTTGGGGTTCACAATACTACACTAAGAATATGACTCGTTAAAACCTTGCTAAGGAAAACTCAGTGGGATAAAACCCTAGCGAAGGAAAAAGAGTACAATATTCATGTGTATCTGAAAATGATATTGCATAGGTTAAAACTGCCTCATTAAAACCTTGCTAGGAAAACCCATTGGGACAAAACCTGGACGAAGGAAAAATATTACAATATGCCAATATCTCTTTGATCAATTGCTCCCCCTCATTAGTTCAACTCTGAAGATCCTTTAGTTGACGCATTCCAATGTTGTGCACCAGCTTCTTGAATGTTGTAGTTGGAAGCGTTTTAGTGAATAGATTTGCTAGATTTTCATATGAACGTATCTTTTAAATATCAATATCACCATTTTTTTGGCGTTCATGTGCATAAAAGAATTTTCGTGAGATGTTCTTGGTCCTGTTACTTCTAATACACCCTTCTTTCATCTATGCAATGCATGCCGCATTATCTTCATATAATACTGTTGGGCTATCTTTTATTGATAAGAGACCACATGTTGTTCGAATATGTTGGATCATTGATCTAAACCAAATGCATTCCCTACTTGCCTGATGAATTGCAAGTATCTCAGAATGATTTGAAGAATTTGCAATAATCGTCTATTTCATAGATCGCTATGATATAACAGTGCCGCCACAGGTAAACACATATCCTGTTTGTGAATAAGCTTTATGTGGGTCAGAGAGATAGCTGGCATCTGCATATCCAATTCATTGAGAATTTGGTGCTTTTGAATAAAACAATCTAATATCAATGTGCCACGAAGATATCGTAATATGTGTTTGATTCCATTCCAATGTCTGCAGGTTGGTGCAGAACTGTACCTTGCTAATAAATTGACTGAAAAAATTATGTCAGGTCTTGTGCAATTTGCAAGATACAAAAGAGCACCAATCGTACTGAGATAGGGCACTTCAGGACCAAGGAGTTCTTCATCATCCTCTCGAGGACGAAAATGATCTTTCTTTATGTCAAGTAATCGGATAACCATTGGAGAGCTCAATGGATGGGCTTTATCCATATAAAAACGTTTCAGAACCTTTTCTGTATATGTTGATTGATGGATGAGAATACTGCTCCAAAAATGTTCAACTTGCAGTCCAAGGCAGAATTTTGTCTTTCCGAGATCTTTCATTTCGAATTCTTTCTTTAAATAAGTGGTCGTCTTTTCGATCTCATCCAATGTTCCCACAAGACTCAGATTATCAACATATACTGCAACAATAACAAAACCAAATTCTGATTTGTTAATAAAAATGTATGGACAAAGATGATTGTTCACATACCCTTCTTTGAGTAAATAATCGCTAAGGCGATTGTACCACATTCGTCCAGATTGCTTCAATCAACATAAGGATCGTTGTAATTTTATCGAGTACATACTATATGGTTTTGTTTAGGCATTTTAAATCCTTCTGGAATTTTCATATAAATATCACTATCTAGTGATCCATATAAATATGTTGTAACCACGTCCATTGATATACATGCAATCTTTCTGTAACTGTCAAATGTATTATGAATCTAAATGTGGGTGCATCAATCACAGAGGAGTATGTTTCCTCATAATCAATATCAGGTCCTTGTGAGAAACCTTGAACTACCAGTCGGACTTTGTATCTCATGGTTTCATTTTTCTCATTACGCTTTCATACAAATACCTATATGTACCCAACAAGATTAACACCATCAGGTGTCTGGACTACAGGTCCAAATACTTCACGTTTAGCTAATGAATTTAGCTGTACTTGTATCACTTATTTCCATTTTGGCCAATCATTTCTTCATCAACATTCTTCGACGTTTTGAGGTTTCAGATCCTCATTATCAATATCAAGAGCAACGACATATGAGAATATGTTGTTGACAACAATTTCATTTATATTCCATTACGTTCCATAATTTAGTGAGATCTCATCATTTTTAAGTACCTTTGCCTCATCAAGGGCATGTGCCTCATCAAGGGCCATATCATCATTTGTTGCCTTTGCCTCATCAATATTTATTATTTTATCATTTTTAGGTACCTGGGCCTCATCAAGAGCCTTTGTCTTATCAAAAGCTATTATCTCAGATTGATCAATAATATATGTTACTCCTTTTGTTGCCTCTTCAGGAGTGCTAATTTTTCTTTATGATTTCCTCTTACGAGAAGCAGTATCTTTTGTGCCGACTGGTCTGCAACGTTTCAGACGTGTTTTGGATGCATTTGCTGCATTACTGACAGAAGGTCCCTCAGGGACAGCAATTCATGCTGAAATATTTGGAGCTGGTATATGTGATTTCATTACTTTCTTTATATCAGTAAATGCATCAGGCAATTGATTTGCAATATTTTGCAAGTGAATGATGCTCTGAACTTCTCGTTCACATTAATTTGTGCGAGAATTAAAATGAGACAATTCCAAGGCATTCTAAGTAATAACATGTTATTGCTGTGTCTTTTCTCCCCATAATGGTGGAAAAACAGCCTCATCAAAATGACAGTCAGCAAATCGTATTTTAAAGACATCATCTGTCAGGGGTTTAAGATATCTAATAATAGATGGAGAATCAAAACCAACATAAATTCCAAGTCTACGTTGAGGACCAATTTTAGTTCGTTGGGGTGGTACAATTGGAACATATACAGCACAACCAAAAACTCGTATGTGAGAGATATTTGGTTGTTGACCAAAAACAAGTTGCAATGGTGAGTACTTATGATAAGCAGTTGGTTGTATATGAACTAATGATGCAGCATGTAATATGGCATGTCCCTAGGCAGAAACAGGTAATTTTGTTCGCATAAGTAAAGGACGACCAATTAACTGAAGTATTTTAATAAAAGATTTGGCCATACCATTTTGAGTATGAGTGTGTGCAACAGGATGTTCAACATTAATTCCAACTGACATGCAATAGTCATCAAAAATTTGAGAAGAAAATTCAGCGGCATTATCAAGACGGATTTTCTTAATTAGGTAATCAGGAAAGTGTGCCCATAAGTTGATGATTTGAGCAAGAAGTCTAGCAAATGCAACATTACGAGTAGAAAGCAAACAAACACGTGGCCAGCATGTTGAAGCATCAATTAAGGCCATAAAATAGTGAAATGTCCACAAAGTGGATGAATTGGCTCACATATATCCCCGTGAATTCGTTGTAAAAATAAGGAAGATTCAACAATGACTTTTGAAGGGAATGGTCTAATAATCAACTTACCTTGTGAGCAGGCAGTGCAAAAATGATTATTTGGTAAGATGATTTTTTGATCCTTTAGTAGATGTCCATGTGAATTTTCAATAATCCGACGCATCATTGTACTCTCTGAGTGACCAAGTCGATCATGCCAAAGAATAAAAAAATTTGGGTCACAAGATTTTTTATGTATCACAACATTTGACTCAATTGTCCTAATGGTTGTATAGTATAACCCAAAAGAGAAAATAGGGAGTTTTTCTAATATTAGCTTCTTACATTAGGTAATGGAAGTAATGTAGAAATATTCCACATTTCTTTCATTTGCGGTCTCAATATGATACCCATTACGACGCAAGTCTTTAAAACTTAATAGATTTCTACGAGATCTTGTAGAATATAAAGCATTATCAATTTGTAATCTTGTTTCACGTGATAAAACGATGTTGGCTCGTCCGGAGCCTTCAATTAAGTCGGTGGGATCTGATATTGTACTGACACTATCATCTGTCAAAATTAGGTGAGAAAAATATTTTTGATCTCGAAAGATTGTGTGTGTTGTTCTACTATCTGCAAGACATATGTCTTCACCATTTATTTTGGGACCAGTCAGATCCATTCCTATTCATGCAAATTTCTGTATTAGAAAAGAAACATTTATAATAAAAGAAACTTTAATACAAACTAGAAAATAAAAACTTTAATATAAGGAAAAGAAAAACTTGATGAAGATAACATAGTAGAAAAAACATGAAATGAAAATATGATTAATTAGTGTGGACATTTCCATCACCAATCAGGTGGTTTATCTTTCCATCACGGTCCTCAAAAATATCTGATATATCCAGATTTGTGATGTCAACTGGCTCATCATGATCAATCAAGTTCATTTCTTTCCGTTTCCCCTTTTCTTTCATTGAGGCCTAGTAAAGTTCAGCCAGATGCTTAGATGTACGACAAATACTTTGCCAATACCCTGTCATTCCACACCAATAACAAGTATTATCATGTGCCTTGGGAGGTTG